GTTACTCTGATATCCGAACTTACGATTTCGCCGGACGCTTGGCCCTGTTTGGCCACTCCTCTTTGCCCTCTTCGGCGTTGGGGGCGTAGTCCGGCGGAGGGGTCTTCCTTTTCCTAGACCCCTCGGCCTCCCCCGTTGGGGCGGCCTTCCTCTTCTCTCCTTCCTCCGCTGGGGGGGGGAGAGTTTTCTTCTTCCTCCTCCTCGTTTTCGTGGGAGGAGGGCGTCTCGGACTCGTCAGATGACGAGTCCGACACCACCACGTTGCGGGCACTCTTTTGAGTCCCCGTGGTCTTCTTCTTCTTGGCCTTCTTCTCCGGCACCACATAAGGCGCCGGAACCAGCAGCTTCGCTAGTAGAGCTGGGGCTGGGTCTTCGGGCAGCGGAGCCGGACAGTTAATCGGTCCGGATATCGCCCGCCAAGCCTGTCAAAGGTAAGGAAGTTTAGACCTCGCATAGAGTCAAACTATGAAAAAAGCTTAACATCCTATAAAAGGTGTAGATGGCATACCTCGCTAGCGTGACGCTGCGAGCTGTATCCGCGGTCCTCGGAAGCGGATGCGGGAGCCTCAGCGCCCTTGAATAGCATCTTCCAGGCGTCTTCGTACGTCGTGTCGAAGAGCCTGGTGAGGGTTTGATGCTACGTCGGGTCGAACTCCCACAGATTAAAATCCCGTTGTTGGCACGGGAGGATCCGGCGGACGAGCATAACCTGGATTACGTTAACAAGCCGGACTGGCTTGTTCACCAGGGACTGGATGCATGTTTGCAATCCGGTCACCTCTTTTTCGTCACTCCACGACAGGCCCGTCTCTTTCCAGGACATAAGCCGCGTGGGGGGTCCGGATCGGAACTCGGGGGCTGCGGTCCATTTCGGATCGCGCGGCTCGGTGATATAAAACCACCCGGATTGCCATCCCTTTAGGGTCTCCACGAAAGAGCCCTCGAACCATAGGACGTTGGCCATCTTGCCCGCCATGGCGCCTCCGCACTCCGCCTGGCTGCCGCGCACCACCTTGGGCTTGACGTTGAAGGTCTTGAGCCAGAGGCCGAAATGGGGGCGGACGCGGAGAAAAGCCTCGCACACGACGATAAACGCCGAGATGTTGAGGATGAAGTTCGGAGCCAGATCGTGGAAATCCAGGCCGTAGTAGAACATGAGCCCCCGGACAAATGGGTGGAGTGGAAAACCCAGTCCGCAGAGGAAGTGGGGGAGAAATACTACCCTCTCATGGGGCCTTGGGATGGGGAGAAGCTGCCCCTCTTCGGGAAGCCGATGCGCGATGTCCTTGGACAGGTATCCGGCCTTCCTTAGCTTCTTGATTTTGCCCTCCGTGACGGAGGAGACCATCCACTTGCCTCCCGCTCCGGACATTGCTGGAGAAGGTTGAGGTGGGAAGTGCGGGCTTGGGCGCTGGAGCTCGGGTGCGCAGGAGATGGATAGGCAAAGGAGGAAGAAGGCGTAGGTAAAAAGGTGGATCCTTGTCCCCTTATATGGGCGGATGTAGTTGTGCATCCCCGCCTGTCTAGTAAAACTCGCTTGCCTCCCAAGCGCCGTGATAAGTGGCGCGGTTGGGTTACCCACGTTCGTATTGATGAGAATCCCGTAAAAGGGGGGTACACGATCTCTGCTTCGACAAGACGTGCCAAGGAAACCGCCTCGCAAAACACGCTGAGGTGGAAAAGTGAAAACGATTCGAGTGAAGGACTTGGGCTGTAGTGTGATGACGCACTGCGGAATACGTCAGCAGATTTGATTTGTGTTAATATTATTCTCTCTATGGCAATATGTGGAAGCTTATTTTGCAGAGCCGGACACTACTCTTGGTGTTTACAATCTTCTATGAAGGACTTGGAGGAGGAATCTGCCTTGCAATGCCGAAGACAATTTGCGCGCCGGACTCGTCGTCATTGAAGCCTGATTTAGGGGCTACTGAGGGAGTCCTGGATTAGGGGGTGTTCGGGTAGCCGGACTATACCTTCAGCCGGACTCCTCGAATATGAAGATACAAGATTGAAGACTTCGTCCCGTGTCCGGATGGAACTTTCCTTGGCGTGGAAGGCAAGCTTGGCGATGCGGATATTTAAGATCTCCTACCATTGTAACCGACTCTATGTAACCCTAACCCTATCCGGTGTCTATATAAACCGGAGGGTTGTAGTCCGTAGGCAATCAACTCCATATACAACAATCATACCTAGCTTCTAGGGTTTAGCCTCCTTGATCTCGTGGTAGATCTACTCTTGTACTACTCATATCATCAATATTAATCAAGCAGGACGTAGGGTTTTACCTTCATCAAGAGGGCCCGAACCTGGGTAAAACATCGTGTTCCCCGCCTCCTGTTACCATCCGGCCTAGACGCACAGTTCAGGACCCCCTACCCGAGATCCGCCGGTTTTGACACCGACACTACTCATAGGATTTGAGATACATGTCATCTCATTTCCTACAAGGTTTCTATTCCTATGATAATCCTATCCTACGAACCAAAAGAGGCCTTATACTAAAAAAAAGAGGTCAGAAAGAAAATTTACTATTGGAGACATGGTCTATTTATAGATCCAACCATGTAGGCATACTTATCTCATTATACTACCGTAACCTTTTTCCAACCTAAATGTCTAAAATCAGACAACATGCGATTACTCGCATCAAAATCGTGAACATTCTATCATCGCTCCGCTCCAAATTTCCGAGGTGGTTTTGACTCGTGCAGGTGGGTCTATCGCACAGTTTCAGCACATCTGTGGCTTTGCCGAAGACATTTTGCCGCGAGGACGTGACCAGCCTCGTGGCGGCCGCAACTGTTGGCGTGGCCAGCCAACCAACCAACACGTGCTGTTCGAGTGCCTCGGTTCAGATGGACAACTGCGTCTGTACACTGTACTCCTCAACCTGGGGGCGGACCTGTCCAAAAAAAAGCTCAACCCGGGGGCGGACCACGGTCTGTAGCAGCTCCCCGAAACACCCACAGAATCAGCCAGCCCGCTCCCGGCACAAAACCACTGCACGCAACCACTGGTTTTCCGCCTCCGGCAGTCCGGCGGTATCGCCCCGACGCCGCAGTTTATATACGGAGCCCCGACACCGCAGCCGTGGCAGTCCGACGACGCAACAACACCACCCCACCGCGCCGCCACTACTCACCCATCGGTCGGGAGCTAGCCACAATGCAGGCCCAGGGCCTCCTCCGCGTCCCCGGCCACCCGGCGGCGGCGCGGCCCCTCCCGCGCCGGCAATGCCGCGTGTCGGCCGTGGCGGCGGCGGCGCCGTCGGTGCAGCGCGGCGTGACGCACTCGATGCCGCCGGAGAAGGCGGAGGTGTTCCAGTCGCTGCGGGGCTGGGCGGCGGGGTCGCTGCTGCCGCTGCTCCGGCCCGTGGAGGACATCTGGCAGCCGGCGGACTTCCTGCCGGACTCGTCGTCCGAGATGTTCGAGCACGAGGTGCGCGAGCTGCGGGCCCGCGCCGCGGCGCTGCCCGACGACTACTTCGTGGTGCTGGTGGGGGACATGGTCACCGAGGAGGCGCTCCCCACGTACCAGACCATGATCAACACCCTCGACGGCGTCCGCGACGAGACCGGCGCCAGCGCCTGCCCCTGGGCCGTCTGGACCCGCGCCTGGACCGCCGAGGAGAACCGCCACGGCGACGTCCTCAACAAGTACATGTACCTCTCCGGCCGCGTCGACATGCGCATGGTCGAGAAGACCGTCCAGTACCTCATCGGCTCCGGCATGGTACGCAGAGTCAGAGCTTCTTGAACGAATCTGTTGAACGAGGAGTACAATCTCATCTGACATGCTGAGCAATTGCAGGACCCGAGGACGGAGAACAACCCGTACCTGGGCTTTGTGTACACGAGCTTCCAGGAGCGCGCCACGGCCGTCTCCCACGGCAACACCGCGCGGCTCGCCAGGGCGCACGGCGACGACGTGCTGGCGCGCACTTGCGGCACCATCGCCGCCGACGAGAAGCGCCACGAGATGGCCTACAGCCGCATCGTGGAGCAGCTGCTGCGGCTCGACTCGGACGGCGCCATGCTCGCCATCGCGGACATGATGCGCAAGCGGATCACCATGCCCGCGCACCTCATGCACGACGGCAGCGACATGAGCCTGTTCGAGCATTTCGCGTCCGTGGCCCAGCGCCTCGGCGTGTACACCGCGCAGGACTACACCGACATCGTCGAGTTCCTCGTCAAGCGGTGGAAGCTGGAGGCGCTGGAGGGCGGGCTCTCCGGCGAAGGCCGGAGGGCCCGGGACTTCGTCTGCGGGCTCGCGCCGAGGATGCGGCGCGCGGCGGAGAGGGCGGCCGACAGGGCCAAGAAAGACGAGCCCAGGAAGGTCAGGTTCAGCTGGATCTTTGATAGGGAAGTGGTTGTCTAGTGTTGATCTGACTTCTGAGACTGAGATAGTGAGATGATCCTGTCACTGTCCTTCTGTGTTCTTTTGTTTTCTCTCTTTGCAAAGTTGTTTTATAGTTTCTTTTGAATTTGGAAACATGTGGGGAATGTTGTATTCTAGAATCTTTACGAAGATGGTTCACTTTTGAACAATGGAGAGACAGGCACTGTGTGATTTTTTCAATGGAAGTGCAAATCCCTAATTGCAAAAAAGAAAAGAAAAAACTAAAGCCAACATACATGTATTTATCGAAGTTTGAAATGCAAGAGATAATCTATCCTCGTATGCCTGAAATCTCCTCGAAATATATTTGAGTATACAGATATACAGAGGCATCATTTACATTTCACTGAAACTTTTGCCCGGCTGAACTTTCTAAAATCAAGGTTTTGTGCCTAACTTTTTGAATCAAATTCAACAAGTCCAACCCACAAATTAGTTTTCGAACAAGAACCCACAAGTTATTGGTCAGCAAAACTAAAACCTAAAATCACTAAATTTTCTAGTAGATGCAGCATAACAAGAGATTATCTACCAAACCACCAGCGACGAAATGAAATGAACTTACAGTTTGATATCGCTGCAACAATGTACTACTATCTGCAACGCACTTTGTGTTCAGGAATGTCAAGCTCAACTGAACTGCACCCGGGAGTCTTCTCAACCCCATGGTTCGCCATCTTTCTCCTGACGCGCTCTGCCTGCTCCCACCTCTCGGACGCGGCCAAGATATTTGACAGCATGATGTACTCCGCGTCATTAGTTGATGCACCATCAGAGCGCAACTGGTTGATCTCATCTGACACCCGTTCAGACATCTCTGCATTGTCATGCACCCTGCAAGCTCCGAGAAGAGCGCCCCAGATGACCTCGTTAGGCTCCATCGCCATGCTCTTGACAATCGCATGAGCTTCCTCGAGTCTTCCTGCACGGCCCAGGAGATCGACCAGGCAACCGTAATGCTCCACTCCGGCAGCGACTCCATACGCGCCGAAACTGTTGAAAACCCTTAGGCCTTCTTCCACAAACCCTCCGTGGGTACAAGCTCCAAGCACGGCGAGGAGTGTGACCCCATTGGGCTTCTGCTCCGAGCACTCCATCTGGGAAAACAGCTGTATCGCCTCTTCGCTCCGTCCATGGCTTGCGAGCGCGGAGATCATCGAGTTCCAGCATTCGGTATTCCTCCGTTGGATGCTGTCGAACACCTTGCGGGCGTACTCGAGGTCGCCGCACTTGGCGTACATATCAACCAGGCCATTCAAAACGAAGTGGTTCTTCCGTATACGCGTCCGCTCCATGAACTCATGAACCTTCCTCCCTTGCTTTAGCGACCCGAGCTGCGCGCAGGCAGACAGCACGCTGGCCATGGTGAACTCGTCCGGCTTGACCCTGTCCTCCAACATCGAGTGAAAGGCATGCAACGCCTCCTCGGAGCGCCCGATTTGCGCGTACCCGGCAATCAGCGCGTTCCAGCTCACCAGGTTCCGCACCGGAACCCTGTCGAACATCGCCCGCGCCTCGTCGGCATCGCCGGCCTTGAAGTACCCCGTGACCATCGACGACCACACGAACACGTTCCTCGCGGGCATGGCGTAGAACAGCTCCCTCGCGGTCTCCATGTCCCCGGCGGCCACATAGCCGTGCACGAGCACGGTCCACGTGACGACGGTCCGCATGCCCATGGGCGTCGCGTCGAACCACCTCCGCGCCCCCGCCATGTCCCCCTTCTCGGCGAACCCGCGGATCATCGTCGCCCACGTGACGGACGTCCGGGAGCCCATGCGTCCGAACAGCGCCTCCGCCTGCCCCGTGTCGCCGGCCGCGGCGTACCCGGCGAGCATCGCGTTGCAGGTGACCACGTTCCTGCCCGGCATTCCGTCGAACACGCGGCGCGCGTCGGCGAGGAGGCCGCACTTGCAGTACATGGACACCAGCGTGGTGCCCACGAGCAGCTCGCCGGCGAACGCGGACTTGACGGCCTCGCCGTGGAGGGACCTGCCGAGGCCGAGGCCGGGGCCGGCGCGGGAGGCGGCGGCCTTGAGGAGGGCGGGGAGGAGGGGCGGGTGGTGCGTCTGGCGGGGCAGGTGCCTGGCGTAGACGAGGGCGGCGTCCCGGAGGGAGGCATTGGCGGCGTACTCCTTGACGAGGCAGGTCCACTTGTCAGGGTCGCCGAGCGCGGCCACCAGGTAGTGCGCGTGGAGCTGCTTCGCTCGGCTAGCCATGGACGATAGCAGGGGCGGGCGGACTCGTCCGGACTTTCAGGGGATGCCACCCTCATCGGTCGGCTTGTAATGCGGAAGGTGATGCCCTTGATTTGCTATTGATCTACTCCCTCTGTCATAATATATGAGCGTTTTTTTACAATAATGTAGTGTCAAAAACAATCTTATATTATGAGACGAAGAGAGTAGATATTTTCCTACTGATAAGAGTCAGACATTTGGTTTATTTTTGTTTTATTTTCTGACAATGACAATTGCCTTCAGATCAACAGCAATTCTATCATACATTTAACAGTTTTAAGCCATAGGTATTGCATATCTAAGTCATATAGATATTTTCTTTCTCTTTTTTCTTTTTCTCTTTATGCTTGATTCACTCATTTAGATGTGCAATAATTATAGCACATCTAGATGTGTCCTAAACACACCCTTTAACAGTTTTAAAAGCGAACTGCATCTCAATTTTTTGTTTTACTTGTTGATCAATAACAATGTTCAACAAGTTTTTCAAATTCATCGACCCAAAAAACAGAAGAACATGTTGTCGTATCAAAGACCATAATTTTTCCACTTCTCAAAAGCGGCCTTCATCTCCTCAAGTTTGAACTTCTTCATTGCATCAACCAACTATGCATCAATGTGAAGGGTGAGCCCTCCGTCTAGTGATACACCGCGCACGTGTGTCTGAGCTAAATAGTAACATGATCAACAAGGGTGTGTTTGGTTTTGCTCGCATTATTTTGTGTGCATTGCATCTGTATTCCAGTTCAGCCTGGCCGAGAAAAAAATAGGCAAAAACCATCATTTGTATGTTGTCTGCTTGTCTGCATACCTTCTAGCCGGACGAAACGAAAGGTAGGTTGTTTGGTTGCCCGCTTATTTAGTCGGAAACACAAGCCATGGTGTTTGGTTACAAGCAACGCATGTTATCTAGTAACCTCCTCATGGAGGTGGTGAAGTTACTGTAGCGACCAGACCTCAAACAGTCTGATCTCTGTGCTCCGGTGTCATCCCTGGATCAGGAATGCTGACACCACACAGTACTCGGAGGATTTATAGCAAAGTAGCAATCACACACTTATTACATCGAGTGTCTCAAACGAGAACTTATTACAATAAATATGGCTTAAGGCCATCTAATAACGATAACAGCGGAAGGCTTGGAAGATAAGTGAGTCCATCAACTCCAACAGCATCACTGAGTATAGAACCATGACCTAAAAACTCCTTAATCGTCGTCTGAAAAGTCTGCAACATTAACGTTGCAGCCCAAAACGGGTCAGCACATGGAATATGCTGGCAAGGTAACACATAGAGAGTAATGGAATGAAATAGCTATACTATATGCATATTTGGCTGGTGGAAAGCTCTATGGTTATAGTTTTGCGTAAAGACAATTTTTCCCTACTTCAAAGGAATAAATTTAATTACTATCATGGTGGTTGTTAAACATTGAGAATGGTTGACAGCATTCTCAATCCCAATTAAGCATCATAATTAAACATAACCCAACAAAATTAATTTAGAGTAACATGTTGAGATTCACATGATAATCCAAGTACTAGATACTCAAGATGTCCATAATCGGGGACACGGCTAACCATGATTAGTTTATTACACTCTGCAGAGGTTTGCACACTTTTCCCCACAAGACTTGATCGCCTCCGTTTGGTTTCTCGCACTACACGGTGTTTGAGAAGACGGATGACCGAGACATAGTCTTTTAGAAGCGCTAGCACCTTATGATCGGGTAGACCGTACCACCTACATCCCCTACATCTGCTAGTCTACCACCGTAAGAGTTCGCACAACTTAGTCAACTATGCTAGAGCCCATAATAGCTTGTGGCTGCACACGGAAGTTTTTAGTATGAATAGTCTCATGATCCCTTTGAGTCTGGGTGACGGTCCAAAAGAAAACAGGCAAGTCCTGGAATACCCAGGTGTCTCAATCCACCCAGATGCGTGTTTAAGTTGCCACCTTAGATAAACCATTAAATAACAATCTCACATCTGTCATGGATATCACTCACCCAATCCACGTCTACTAGCATAGCATGGCATAATAAGCAAATGTAGAAGTAACTCCCAAAGGTTTGATAATAACAGGTAGTAGGTACTACCTCATCTAATTCCCATCCCACAATTTAATTAGATCCTAATCATGAAATGTGTGAGGATTGATCTAATGCGATAAAACTGGGTAGTAGAAAAGGTATGATCAAAGTGTTACTTGCCTTGCTGATGATCCGGGAAACCTAACGATTCGAAGTAACAGGCGGCGCACTCCGGGTACTCTATCGCAAACAAACAAACAAGCATACAATAAGTACTCATCTAGTGCACAGGTAAAACTCAAATAAGAGATATAACCAGAAGGTTCAACTTAAGAACTCCGGTTGGCAAAAAATCAAATCAAACGAAGCAACGAAAGTCAAACGGCGAAAGAAAATAACTTCGTTCTAGTAATTTGGATCTAGGGCAAATTTTACAGTGGCAAAAACTTGTTTAAGTTGGTTATTCAGATAGAGGGTTTCGAGACGAAACTCTAGGCGCTTGAATCGCCTGATTCCGATAAACGAGCGAAAAGTTATACTAAAACGAAAATCGGATCAGGAATCGCGATCAGAAAAATCACGGATTTAATCCGAGAAAAAGAAAAACGACGAACACTGATTTTTTTTAATGACGGCAAGGAAAACGAGGCAGCGGCAAACCTCGGGCGACGTGCGGCGGCGGCGGGCGCTGGGGGCGGCGGGCGGCGCTAGGGTTTGGGCGCGGGTGGCTGGCTTCGGCTGGGCCTCCCCCCGGCTTATATAACCTAGTGGGCCGGGAGTCCGGGTCGGACACGGCCCCTAGGTCAGTTCGTACTTCTTCTTTTTATTCCTCTCGGAAGAAAAATAAAAAGAAACACTAAACAGACTCCAAAAATTCCGAAATAAATTTTCACGGGCTTCTAAAATCAAGCCGTACAAGGTGAACATTTATTTGGGATCTAAATGCACTTTTGAAAAACACACATTTTTCCTAAATTCAAATAAAACACCGGAAAACTCCGCAATAAAATATTATTTGATTTTATTATTAAATCCTTAATATTTCTTTATTTTGGGAAAGTCATTTTATTCCCTCTCTCAAATTTTTTGTAATAGAAATAATTGATGATAAAATAAATAAAATCAAATGATCCTATTCCCAAAATTTGAGAAAACTCAAATATGAAAATAACAAAATCCCCAACTCTCTCTGTGGGTCATTGAGTTGCGCAGAATTTCTAGGATCAACCAAAATGCAAAATAAAATATGATATGCATTGATTTTCTAAAGTATAACATTCCAAATTGAAAATTTGGGATGTTACAAACCTACCCCCCTTAAGATGAATCTCGCCCTCGAGATTCGGGTTGGCTAGAAAATAGGTGAGGGTGGTCTTTGAGCAAATCTTCCACTCGCTCCCAGGTGGCTTCATCCTCCGTGTGATGGCTCCACTGAACTTTGCAAAACTTGATAACCTTGCTGCGAGTGACTCGACTGGCAAACTCGAGGATCTTAACTGGTTCTCCTCGTAGGTAAAATCGTTATCCAACTGAATAGTTTCCAATGGCACTGTGTCTCTCAACGGTATTTCAGCCATCTCCGCGTGACATTTCTTTAACTGAGAAACGCGGAACACATTATGAACTCCTGACAATCCTTCGGGCAATTCCAACTTGTAGGCCACTTCTCCCATACGTTCCAAAACTCGATATGGTCCTACAAATCGTGGCGCTAACTTCCCTTTTACTCCAAAACGCTTTGTTCCCCGAAGTGGAGATACTCGAAGATAAGCTCTATCTCCGACTTCATAAACTGTCTCCTTGCGTTTAGAATCTGCATAACTCTTCTGTCTGGACTGGGCTACCTTGAGCCTGTCGCGAATCAACTTCACCTTCTGTTCAGGCTCTTTAATCAAGTCAGGTCCAAACAACTGGCGGTCTCCAACTTCGTTCCATGACAACGGTGTCCTGCACCTTCTTCCGTACAAGGCTTCAAAAGGGGCCATCTTTAAACCGGTTTGATAACTGTTGTTGTAAGAGAACTCTGCATATGGCAAATTATCGTCCCAACTAGATCCGTAATCTAGCGCACAAGCTCTCAGCATATCCTCCAAAATCTGATTGACTCTCTCGGTCTGTCCATCTGTCTGTGGATGAAAAGTTGTACTGAATTCTAGCCTGGTTCCCAAAGTTTCTTGCAACTGCTTCCAGAACTTTGAGGTAAACTGGGTTCCTCTATCCGATACGATACTCCTCGGAACTCCATACAAACATATGATCCTGGTCATGTATATCTTTGCCAACTTAGCACTGGTGTAAGTGGTCTTTACTGGGATGAAATGAGCTACTCTCGTCAATCGATCAACTACAACCCAAATCGAGTCATAGCCTGAACGACTCATGGGCAATCCCGTGATAAAATCCATGCCTAGCTTATCCCACTTCCATTCGGGTATCGGCA